AGCGGGTGACCTTCTTGAATATCTGGGCTACCTGCTCCTACCATTCAGATATTTTAACAAGTTATGTGTTTCCTTGTTTGTTTTACCAGATCATTATGTCAGTTAATTGCCTAACCTATTCAGATGCATTTACGAAACGTTTACAACCTTTCACTGTACAAGTCACAAAAATTTACAACCGGAGACATCGTGATGGCTGGTAATGTGCATTGAAAAGAATGAATGTTATTCAGATGTTGACTTCTGAAATGTTAATAACTAACTGGTGATCACGCAATATTTGTCATCAATATCCATTAAGAAAAATGAAACGGATACTCGCTGAAATACTTTGTTCTGAGAATTATATATTATACCAAAAATATAATATTAAATAAAGCTAATAATAACAATAAATTCAGAAATCAAGATCACTTCATCAGCACTCTTATGAAAGATAATTTGTTTAGTATTTAAATCACTTGATAATGAAAAACGTATAACAAAGTGAAAATGTGGTGATCGGTAAAGAAAATTTAATGGAACCTCAGCGTTTTTCAATACAGATTATATCTGAAACTTAATTTGAAGTTGAATCACTGCTTCACATAGCTCTGGAACTAAAAACATCTATATTTTGTCATGACCAACGCATGAGAAAATGGACACTATTGTGATAAATATTTTGTTTTGGATGGTTATTAATTTCATTTATGTGGGTTTCAGGCCATTGTAATATAATAATAACTAATCGACAAATGAATGAGTTTCTCAGTAAATGTTGTAGAAATAATGAGAATTCTTTTATAATGACGATCAAAAACTCGAACATTTACTGAACGATGCATAAATGAACTTTGTAGCATATACCACTTGTTTTATGATACAAAGCGTCGATTAGAAACTTGAAAGGCTCAAAAGATAAGTAAAATCACCATTTCTATATAAATTTCACAATTATTTTATGAGTACATTCCTGTTTGTGACAATCATTATGCTCCATGGCTAATAGAGGTATTATAACTTCAAGGTCATTTCCAGCGTTACACATGATAGGTGATACAGCGTAGTTACACTATATCATCATCACTTACGAACAACTGAAGACCATCTATTTATAATCTGTTTACAATGTATCTCACAGACCAGGTATACAGCTATTTTACTGTCACTGTGATATATTTGGTCTAATTAAAAGTGAAAATTAGCGATTTCAGCCTAACTAAAATTTGAATGAATACTGCTCTACTTTTAAATCTAAACACTGCCATAAGTAATAGTACGATTTACGTTCATTTAAATCTACTTTGAAAACCTTCGAATTTTGTGTCGTTCACTTGAAAATGCTAATTCGTTTGACACCTCAACGAACAAACATCAACAATATTCCGTCTTTTCTTTCATTCTTCCTATAAAAATATTATTTCCTATATTTCAACTTACATTTTAATTATTATTCTCAAATTTTTACTTTTTTTCACTTTCACAAAATGTTTTGTGTTATAAAACTACACAGACGTGTAAAGACAAAGACTATCATATCATTGTTCTTATATTTTTATTCAACTCGTAAAACGTTTTTCACGTGAAACCATACAAACCTGTGTATAGTGCATAATATCCCAAAAATGTAGAAATTACATTCGAAGATAAACGATATGACATTAGAAAACACTACGGTTGTGAACTGTTTGCCAGCTATTAAAATGAGAAAAATAATTCTTTAGACTGTATTCAAAAGAAGAGGTTTTAAGAGAAATCCCTTTAATTATCCTGAAAATAAATTATTGATCATTAGAAAAATAATATATTCGACTTCATGTCGCTTGAAATTGCTGAAGTTTGGATGATCATATTCTTCACCACGTTTTATGAAAAAATCAATAATAGTTAATTCGTCCTTTTTCAATTTCTTCTATAATTTTGTTTAATATCGGTAGACTAACACAACTAACCATTTATGGTTTACCTGAATTTTGTGTAAGTGTCAAGTCACCAACCTCCAAATGGTATGTGATTTCTGTTTTTACTTAGGTTATCAGTTAACAATCTTTAGTAGCTTGTAATTTTCATTTTCGAAACGCAAATGCAATGAACCTTTGTGCATGGAATGCATCCTAAAAAAATATGTGAAACGATTGATTTGAATCTTTTTTTTAATCCTCCGCTTGGAATATTACTAAGTAAAGCAACTTCATTTTTCATAAAGTTTCCCACATGTTAAAACGAATCATTCAGATAAGAGAAAGTTGGTTTGTTCTAGAATAAAAATGATATTTCACTGGCCTGATATTTGACCTACAATAATTATCATAGATGCTATGAAGTATTTCAAAAATTACAATTAGTTTTTCCTTCATGAACAACGAATGAAAGCATCTGTACGTTCTGTTTATTCTCACTTTCAATAATCTACCTCAATCAACTAGATAACAAGTTAATACAAGTTCTGATGTTGTTTAGAAGTACAATAAAAGGCCCCCGACAAAACTACACAGCTCAGAGAACAAAACTCCACCTAAATCATGCACCTGATCTACATATCTTATCCACCATCTCAACATATATCTTGATGATATTCAAATGTGTATTAGACATTCAGATACTGAATCAATAGCTTGAATAAGTATGACGATTATTATTCTATAGTAAGTGTGTTTAACTATTTAACTGGTCTCTAGCCCTACGACAGTTCCTGAAGTATGAACATAGTTAAGATAAAATAGCAGTAATTTTTGACTCTGGTACTTATATGCATTTTTAACTTGGCTGATGTCAATTTCATGAAATCCGACAACAAATCCAAAACGAATTATGGACAAAATATGCTGTAATTTAAGGAATAAACCTAAGTGATTTGATTACCATAATAGGTTGCCTGAAATACTAATAACATAAATTTATAGAAAACATTAATACATAGTAACATGCAAATTCTTTAGACAGATATCCAATGGATATAAACTACATTAATTACAATTTAGTTGAAGAGCACAAAAAAATGCCAGTTGAAAAGAACTAGCTGATAAATATTTTGCTTATGAAAAGAATATTTTCACTTAGATCGTTTGGGTTCAGTTTCACTATCGGCGTGAAAAAATCTAAGTCAATCTTCAACATATTGTCATTAGTATCAAATTAAATAGACCTTCACTCACTAACGCCTTTATGTCCTAAGGAGATGTGATGTTTTCATTGCGACACTATTAGATTATTTTGTTGTAAGAACATGTAATGAGACTATAATTTGTGGACAACCTTTAGGCGGTGCTAAAGTAACCCTGAGAAATGTCACCTAATTACTGAGGTCAAAAGAGGGTTATAGATTAGTGTGACGAATTAGGATTAAGAGATAGAAGTTAAACTTTGGAATTAGAGTAAGGATTTCCATTACGAAATGAAATAAAATATAATGACGAAATCCCATTTAACCATATAAATGGACGAAATTCACACCAAAAACCAATACTTTCTATCTTCAATTTCATTGGTTCATTCATAAATTACAATCTGTTTAAGTATGCTTTACACTTCCAAAATAAATTGTTGTTGTCACCTTTTGTAAATAAATAACCGATTTTTTGCACTTCTAGCAAATTTTTCATGAGACTGAGTTGTTTCAATATCCGATTATTTCTAAGTAAACTTTCTTCGAAAGAAAATACTGGCCATTTAAACATGTCTGTAGTCTTTAGTGATTTTTTATTTTCTGTACAATTCAAGCAATTATCATAGCTCGATATACTATTATTAAACAATCTGATTGTATGATAAGACAATAATATTGACTGTCGAAAACATTAAATTCTATATTCATTAATCTATTTGAATAAGTTATCTTTTGTTATTAATCGGAAAAGTTTACGTTTATATACAAATTGTTGAAGTTATATCTGCAACACAACAAAATTCTGTTAATTTCAACAAAACAATTTACCAGTAATTTAACAATTCAAGATGTTCTATCAAATACAATCAAACGTGATTAATAACTAAGGATTGATTTGTTACTAAATAGATAAATTTGTTAACAATATACCATTTAAAATAATCAAATCTATCGTAAAATAGATCTATTTATTTCAAACATATATATATATATATATATATATATATAGTCAGAAAGAGATTTTATGGATATTAAAGTAAACTAATAGTCAAATTCATAAGTCAGTTAAAGCTAGATCACCATATAAAACCTGAAAGCACTGAACGGCCGTTTCATCCTAGTGTGAGACTCCTTAGCAGTGCGTATCTATGATCCCGCTCACGGGATTCGAACCCAGGATATTCAGCCTCGCGCGCGAGCGCCTAACCTCTATACCGCTGAGTCGGCATCCGACGGTGTTAATGTCAAGTTCCATTAATCCACGAAATTGCGCCACCGTCCATCATTGTCTTCAATGAGTTACTATCCCACAACAGACCCAGTTGAAGTTAAACATCAACACCGTTGGACGCAGGCTCAAGGTCTAGAGGTTAAGCGTTCGCAGACAATATCAATAGGTCCTGAGTTCGAATTTCACGAGGCGGGATCGTGGGTGCGTACTGCCGAATAATCTCATACCGTAAAGAAGCGGCCATCCAGTGCCTCTAAGTTTTCCATGGTGGTCTAGCTTCAATTAACTCATGAATTCAACTATTAAATATATATATTGAGAAACATTTACAAATAAGAATGATCACTGTAATAAAAACTCGAAAAACATTATATTCTGATATTTTAAATGATTGTCTTTAAACTAAATAAACTAAAAAGTGAGTAATAAATTTTTCTCATTTAGAACAATAGAATATTCTACATTCAAAATTTTAACTTCAAACTTCTAATAATAAACCAATAAATATGAACCTTTTTTTATTATGCTTCTTCAGATGTAAATTATTTCGAATAAGCATGATAAGTCAATGCGAACAATTGACTAATCATTAACATAGTAAAATACATGTAAATCAATATATCAAGAAGAACTAATCAATGAAAAGAAAACAAAAGGGGAACATTTCAAGCAATAAATAATTTAGAAAAATGTTTGTAAATCAATTGAATCTAAAAAGCTTGAATAGATCTCTGGTGAATGCGATGTCTCATAAGTGCATGAATCTTGATGACAATTATTTATATCATTACTAGTTGTAGGTTGAGATATATTAAAATCTGTGTAAAATTCTTTTTGATCAGGATAACTAGTCATATTATTTCGATTGTTCACATTAGGAAGAAATGTACTTGTTAATTGGATTTTGTAAGGATCATAAATTGTATCAGTTGATTGAAAATATGTTGAATTGTTATTTGCCATTAAATTTTGAACTGATGTACACATATTTGATATGGGTTTGTTACTCATTGACATCATGTTCATTTGTGATATTATAAATGGTTCTGGTTTATGATTCATCTCATTTATTGACATATTTCTATTTTGTGTTATTTCATATGATTTCATTGTCGGAGCAATAATAGGAATACGTGGTTTATTATATGGTTGAGTGACAGCTTTCGGAACTCTTGTTAACCTTGCTGCTTGAAAACAATTTGAACGGGTAGGACATAAAACTAACTCAAGAGGTAATTCAGCAGTAGTTTTTACTTTTTGCTGTAATACAACCTTATTTGTTGGTTGTTTACGTTTTCGTCTAGGACAGTATTTGTAATTTGGATAACGTCTCATATGACAATCACGTAGTCGGTTAGCTTCTTCAATAAATGGAATTTTGTCAGTATTTGTTAAAGATTTCCACAAATTACCTAATTGCTTACTGATTTCAGAGTTATGAAGTTTAGGATTCTCTTCAGCCATTTTACGCCTTTGTAAACGTGACCATACCATAAATGCATTCATTGGTCGTTTAATTCTTTCACTGTTCATATTAGTATTGTAAACAGTTAAATGATTATTGGAAAAATTGGATTGCATTGTAATCACTGAAGACGATGATGATGATGACGATGATAAAATTGATGTTGGCAAGGTCAAGGGATGAAGTGGTGATTCATTTGCTACCTGAAAAATAATTTCAAGATTAATTTCAAGTACTAAAGCGCAGTGTTGAAAACCATTACAAATCTAATAAAACGTTTTCACTGGAAATCGTGTTTGATAAACACCTGAGAACAATCTAGATATATTTTAAAGTAGGTAATTTTCCTAATTGTACATTAAGTTTATTCAGATTTTTAATGAAACGTTTTTAACTTACTGAAATCGGCTTATGAAATATTAAAATAAAGATAACACTGAATAATTTTGGATTCTAATTCAACAGCCGATCACAATAAACTATGAATATAACGTCAAATTTATAAACAAAAATCTAAATATTCACTAATGAATAGCTTCTAAATTAATTCCCTAAATTTCTATTTAGAAGTATTACTTTATGAAAATAATCCAGTATAGTATGAGGCAATATTTCAGTGATGAAGATTTCACTAAATTAAGATTATCAGAATGGGGATTTGCGGAGATTGTAGTAATTTTAATAGTTGAATTCATGAGTCTATCCAGGCTAGACCACTAGTGAAAACCTAGCAGCATTGAAGGATTTCCATACTAGAACGAAACGGTCGTCCAGTCCTTCCAAGTTTTTAGTGTGGTCTAGCTTGGATCGACTCATGAATTCAACTGTTAAATCAAAATTAGCTGAAAGATAAATATATGTTGAATTTGAACTGACTTTTGATAATAATTAAAAATGTCAGTAAGTTTCAAACTGGAATAAGCTATTCACTTCAAGGTAACTAAGTTTTGCATATTTCTCTAGCTGATGCTAATTTGTAGTAACTTTTATCTTCATTTTTATAGAACTTTTACTAAACAAACATAATATATATCTTCTGTATTCACACATATCAATGATAGTGTTGATCAAATATTCAGTGTGACTATACTTAGTAGCATATCAGAAACTTCAGAATATACAGTCAAAGCTACGAAAACTTCAAAGTTAACAACAATATATGAAACTATTATCTTGAATAGTAATGACTTGCTTGATTTACTATTTAATTATTACAGTCAAATCATATTCTATTTGAATACCATAGTAACTGAATGAAGTAATTATTAGCCTCATTGCACGACATCACCGAAATCTATGATTGTTCAAGTGACGTCACACTACGAAGAGAGCTTATGTCAAATTACCTTAGCCTACAACAAAGAAATTTATCTTGTACATCATGGAAACAAAATGTTAGTTTAAAAGAAAAATAATTTTAAGTCCATCCGAATTCGAAAAAACAGTATTAGCACGTAGTAATCCGATTCGTAACATGAATAATTAAAAACCAATAGCAAACAATATTTTTCATAGTGCACTACTGTTTCTTGTAAAAATCGTCTTAAATTTATAATACCTAAAATTTAATTAAATCTCATTTCAGTTAATCGATAACGATCATTTTTACCATTTCTTCACATCAAAATATTAACTGTTGTATGACTTCGTGTTATATCTCAGCGGTGTTTAAGGGGCTTTGCTCAAAAGTTATGAATGTTAGTGGCTATCGATTGATTAGTCCCTACATGGATAACTGAAAAAACATACTAACTTTTTTCATGACAGTGTTAAAACAGAACACATGTCGATACTAAACTACTGACTACCTTTTATAAGAACATTTTACATGAGTTAATAATATTCGGTATTTAGATAACCATTGAACAAGACCTGACTGATGTTAGTTAAAAGGTTAGTTCTCTATATTTTGTCTTCCTTGTAGCGCCAAGATGATAGATTTCATCACAGTCAACAGAAAAACAAAAGCAGATATCATATTACTGATGATATAAATACTGGAAAGACCATCAATAAAAGGTATTCTACCTAGCTTCCTTTTCTCCTTTCAGCTGCTATTACACTTTTCAAACTTTTAAGTGACCAACATATTCATTTAAATCTACGTTGACATACCTCTATAAATATAACGATTTAAAGTGGCCTTTTACATTTGTACTAAACTGGAGTTTATTTTAAATAACTGGCCAATTTTTCCATCACCAAGCTTGTACCTAAATGCAAAATATTTCTACTACATTTTGTCGCTTTAGTGAGTCGATTTGTTTCCGAATAGATTTTACCATTTTATTGTCAAACAGATGAAACTGTTGTTAATGTCTACTTGTTTAAAGTGTTTTTCGAAATGCATTGTTCATTTCAAACTTAGGAATCAAAACATAACTTGACATCGTGTCCGCGTCAATCATATACCGAGATGTGTTTATAATTTTTTATTCTTTTATAATTCAACTATCAGAAATCATTTGAAAATCTATGCTTCGTGGTGTATGCTACTTATGTCCGTCGATATAAGTAACATGCAACACCATTCGAAAGTAGAAAACTTGGCAGAAGAATGCTATGAATATCGACTCAAAGAAAACGGAATTAAAAAAGAATTGTGAGTCAGGAAGATTATACAGAAAATAAAGAACAAATGATGAAATTTTGCAAATGAAGTATTCAATATATAGTTCTTCTGTTGAGATACATTTGATTGTCCCCACCTATTTTCTCGGTCACAACAATATCAATCGAGATTCTACATTGCCTGGTTCATTGACGTCAGACTAACCATTTGTCCTATATTCTCGTTGATAATTTGATTATTTCATGATAAGTTTCATACATATAAATACCATTTTCATTCTGTTTTGATATTACTTCAGTTTTAACTGAACACTAGCGTTATAGCAGATAGTGAAGACATAAAAACATAGCCAAAAATAGCTAATAAACTATTTAGTAAAATTAAAATTCATCATTATATTAACGTACCATTTGTTGACATGAATATCTTTCTAGATTTTGTTTACGATTATCTAAACAAATATTGTAATCCAATTGTTGTTGTTGTTGCTGCTGCTCTGATTGTAATCTTAGTCTCTCACTTTGATACTCCAAATCATGTGGTATGAAACTTGATTTTATAAGATTTTTATTTGATAAATCAGTTCAGGATAATTCAAAGGTGAAGATGATGATATTGATGCAACAACAGAAGAATAATACGAATTTGTTATGTGTTTCTTATCACCTGACATAATATGTATATTATTTGGCATCAGTATATTACTTACAGGTGGTAATATTGTATTGCTTCTTGAAACATTTTGATTTGGAACATCATTCATTTGTATTAAACTGAACTCTTCATTTCTTAGCGCAGCTGACTGAAAGTTCTGAAGTTGATTATGTTCACCAACAGTAGAAATGGGTGATTTTTGCATTAAAGTATCTGTTTCATCAGATGATAATAATTTTCGTGTAACTAAATGATTGTCATCTGTATGTGGAAATGAATCATATTGTATAGGACTATTTAAAGCTGGAGGTGTTGTTGAGATATTTTGACAAAATGGTTGAGAGAAAATCATGATTTGAAGTTTTCTAAGAATCTATTTAACAACTAACTATAAAATCTTTCATATTAAAAGTGGATCAAATTATTATCTCGTATTTTTTTTTCTCTTTTCATAATTCTTGTATAGAAAAAGTATAAATATATCAGAGATGCCCACTTTTTACGTTATCACTTGAATTCAATGAAATAATTGCATTAATTTAAACGAATGATTCAAGGTATAGTTTATTAGATTTTATGATTATTTCAAAAATAATTGTAATACAACTCTAAAATTAGATTGCTAATTTAAATAATGTGGAAACTGACTTCCAATAGACCTTGAAAAATTTTGAGATGACTTTATCTATTCTCAAAATTCGTGATCATTCACCTTGGATAAACATTTCTCTTATAAGGCAAAATATTATGCCTTAGATACATCTTACTAACAAATAAGAGGATAGGATAGTTAAGAATATTGGGCCTCTAGAACATTTTTTTTGTTTACGCATAATGTGTTCTTGTAGACATGCATTTAAGAAAATACAACACATATAGATGTATGCAATAATAGTAAGCATACTTATTTACATAAGCACACTCATACAGCATACATACAAATAATTTTTCTACCCCACCCGACAAGTTCCTTTCCTTTCTACTCATCTGACATTTTATTTATCTGCATGCATTGAGTTCACAATATTTATACTGGGCAAAACGCAACAAATTTTTAGAAAAAAAATATATCAAGTATAACCTAGTTGTTTACACATCCTGTTATATGTGGTTAGATACAAATATATACATTTTAAAGGTTTGATTAGATTTTAAACTACTGTTGTTTGAAAATGGTACGCTCAATTTTGTTCAATATTGAGTCAGTATTTATTCAAATCCTTTAATTGAAAATAATTTTCTTTGCAATGTGAAGTACTATAAAACAATAACTTGAATTGAAAATTGTGTTTTACAAAATTTGTCACTTCAAAATCTGTGGCGGTACTTCGTTACTGAAGAAGGTTTAAGTGTTCTACCTGGTTAATATTTAGTGTCATTTGTTCGTCGTTAAAATAGACAATAGGCGGTCCATCATATTTTGATCATTTCAGGTCATATAATAGTTTAAAACCATGAATATTAAATAAGTTTCCAAATTACGACGATTCACATAGAACAAGAAACACTAATCTTAGAGGTGCGACAGTATATAAATTGAAGAGATAACCCTTATCATCCACCTGAAAAACTAGGTCGAATGAAAGACGATTTCCTTATGCTTTACCAAATGGTTTGTCCGAAAGCAGGTCATTTATTATTATAGAAAGTTGATATCAATGATGTTCAAGCTAATTAGTCGTTTAGCATACGTAGTCGGTGTGATTCCATCCATAATGAAAACAAAAAACGTTACATTCCTGAATACTCAATAAATAATTGACATACTCGTTTCAGTAAACTGAATGAATTTTCCACATCTAAAATTCACTGCTAAACTTCTTAATTAGCTACAAAACAGAAAGTAATATAGCTCTAATTAATAATGTAAATATAACGTTAATCACACATCATCCGGGTTTTAAATACTGATCATTCACAAAGTATTCAGGGATACTCAGTAACTTCCCCAAAGTTTCAGATATTTTGAGGTGTAAAATTCTTATTTTCACTGGTCGAAGTCGTAATACATTGTGATAGCTTCTAACTGAAAAATAGACAATCCAAAAAGTAGCTTTGTGTTTCATATATGAATAAATGAGAATGTGCTCTTTTATTTTCAAGGAATATTGATATGACTCGTTTCTTGATTAATAATAATCTTAGAAGTTCTAAATTAGATCATAGACGGGAAAATAAATATCTCTGTTTTTTTAATCAAGACGTGCTAAGAAATACGACAGAATGAAAGAAAGTAAACTAAAAGGACTACATGAAAGGTTGAATCTATAGGCTAAGGACCACTCACAATCTATCAGATGGTCGTTAAAACGAGTTCAAAGCCAAAATATTAGAAGACGTACTGAGTTTCAAATTGCATAACCGTCTATTTATCACGCTGGAAATTGCAGTACAGACATTACTCGAAAAGTTTTCCAAAACAAACCACACCTGCACCACTAGAAAACATCTCACACTTCAATAATACAAACATTTCTGCATCAAACCCTTCTAAAGAATACTTCCTAGCCCTTCGATCCTTAAAAGATATAATAAGAGATGATAAAATGAACAAAACGTCAGTCATGAACGCAAAATATTATGATGACATGGTGTGGATATCTCCCTACTAGACTAATTATAAGATCGCATATAACTGGTCCCAAATGTATAAGGACAAAATAGTCAGAAACATATCAACTTCTTGAGGAGCTATACTCACTTATAGTTGTCTTCACATGGCCCGAACTATTCTCTAAACTACGTGCAATGTCACGTTTCCTTGAACTATTAAAAGTTCATTGACCATGGTATCTCACTGAGACGTTGATTTCACAAACATCTCAACTCGTGAGCTATCCAAAAAACGTGCTGGCATATATCTAACATTGCTTTTCGAGTGAGCATATACGTCAGATATATGATGATATATCTGTTAGCATCACAAATATATTAAATAGAACTCTTCTTCAACCCATTAATAAACTTTCTGTTCACACCAAATTGACTTTATAAAATTAAAATAAACCGAATGAGCTTTTAATTTAGAAAAATCAGTTAAAATACATTTAAATGAATCTCTTAATCTAACTCTCTACTTTAAATCAATACATCTATTCAGTATTAAACCGTCGCTTCTTCAGAAGAGTTCTGAACGTCTTACGAAGTAAAAAGACAAGCAAAAGTACAATAGAAAATGGTCAGTTTTTTACTAGTTCATTAATTTAACATGAACGTTTGTGAAAATAAAGTACAATGACTTATAATTAAATGAAAAATCATAGAAAATGTTGGGGATTAGAACTGCAGTGTTATCGTACCATGAAACTACGATAACAGAACAAGAAATAATCCTAAACAACAGAAAATGAAGGCTTTTTATAAAACAACCAACACACTTTTACTACTTGCCTTCGAATGGATATGAAAATAGAACTCTGTTTACAGATTGCATTTTATTGATTTTAATATATTTTGTCTAGTCTAGTCTTCTCAGGAATTCTTTACTAGTACCTCAGAAAATATTTAAGCTACACAAATAGATGCAATAACTCTGAAGAATTTGAAAACGTACCAGCCAAATTTGTAACAATAGTGAATACAATATTCCGCAATTGTACAATCGATATTTAAAGATATTCAAATAATTTGAGAACGTTTCTCCAACTTCTTTACTTTATCAGCATGGGGTTGTGGAGATTATTAAGTTTTCAACTGAGATCATGAACCGATTGATGGTTCCAATCAAAAACTTAATAATCTCCACAACCCCATACTGATAATTACCATATGCTCACTAATGATTATCTTTAAGATGGATTTCCTGCAGTCCTACTGAGAAGCCATAACCATTGGAGCTAATCCATGTCGGATAGAGACATGTATCTGCCTCATTAAAATGGAAGATGGTCACGAAATTTCGTGAATTGGTTGAAATTAGAGATTAACGTCGTTGGATGCCGGCTCAATAGTCTAGATGTTAAGCGTTCATGCGCGAGAACAAATGCTCTGGGTTCGAATCCCATGATGGGGACCATGGATTCGCACTGTAGAGGAATCCCAAAATAGAATAAAACAATCATGCAATGCTTCTTTTACTTTATTCTAGAATGTAAGTAATCTTAATCACGAATTTATTGAACAAAGTGAAATATAAAATTTTATTTTATATTTTTCAATTATGTTGTTTTTCCCTAAAAACTTTTTTTTATAAATAACAATTCATCATATTTACAAATAATAAATTAGTTACTTGAACCTAATCTAACCTACATTCTATGTAAAAGTTTGACCTCAATTTTGTTTAATAGTACGATTAAATTTCCTTTTTTTTTTGTAAATTTACTCAACCTAACATCTTTTTACTTAATAAATTAACTCTCTTTAATTTTATTTTTTTTAAAAAAAAGAAAAAAGAAAAGAAAAACAAACTATGCATTATTACTAAGGTTATACAAGTAAATTTCTATTGTTCTATATACAAAATTATTAAAACTAATTCTTTCCATCTATTTATGTATTTCCTAGAAAACTTTCGGATATAAAATTTGAGAAAAATATTATTGTCAATCAACAATTATAAGAAACAATATGTTTTTATGAGGTAATTATTTTCACGTTTTAGAATAGATGGATAAGATCTGGTAAAAAAAACAATTCGAAAACTCATGTTTCGTCTTATTTCGGAATGATTATTTGAAGGTATGTTCATCTCAGTGTTGATTTAACTAGAGAATCACTCTCAAATTTAGTGCAAAACAACTACTGTTTACGTCCTGTATTGCTTTCAAGTGACTGAAAACAGAATCTGACCCTATTAAATGATTTTGTCTATTAAACGATACATTTATAACGATTGGCTTTAATGATAACATGAATGACTTCTAGCTTAAAAGTTTTAAGATAATATATATTGTCAGTATGAAGCGAAGATTATTGGATTTCACTCAAATCGAGAAATGATCTAAGCACTGGACGGTCGTTCCATCCCAGCATGAGACTCCTCAGCAGTAGTCGCGGACGATCTTGCAAGTGGGGATCGAGCCCAGGGCTTTCGGCCTCACATGTGAACGCTTAATCTCTGAGCCACTGATTCGAGACCCAAAGGTGTTAATGTTTAGCTTTTGACTAAACAAGTAACTCCCGATTATTTCTATTACAACACTATCAAGAAACCTGTTTCATAGACTGTTCAACCAACCTGCAGACATCTTTGCTAAGTCTACAAAACTTGTCAGTTTTCATCGCTTAATACGAAATTCTGCAGTGGTTTTTATTACTAATGCAATATAATCCATGACTTTGGTGAAGATTATATTAAAAGCTATTTACTTACTTCTCAGACCATTAGATACATCGAAAACAACATCAGAT